TTTACCATATTGTTTTCATGGGCCATCCATATTGAAGGACGCATTAGTTAGTAGCACATGGATTCTTAATTATCAACCATGCCAAATCCCCAAAGACAGATATCTCCCCAGGTCTCCTCAATTGTGTGTTGATCTCTCTTCAAAGCCCTGAAAAGAGTGTGCTGCCTTGGATTCTTAATGTTAGTCTCAGAAGCTGCCAGAAAGTAGAGAGTGGACCAGATTCCTTGTTCCCCAAATAAGTTGCATTAGAGTCACATGGGTCTTTCAAAAATGCTCATTCCCGAGCTCTTTTTAGAAGGCTTCTGAATCAGTATTTATGGGCTGGGTGCTTTTGAAATTGGGTCAGTGGAACTCAGGGTTCTGACATGGACTAGGTGATTTCCGGTATCTAGGGTTCTGGTACTGGACCAGGTGACTTCTGGGGTGATCCTGGACTAGGTGGCCTCTGAGATTGTAATCCTGTATGAGAGTGACCTCTGGGGTTATGACTCTAGGCCAGGTAGCCTCTGAGGGTCTTTTCTTGTAGTAAGTGATCTATAGGACTGTCATCCTGGGCCAGGTGACCTCTGGGGTTCTCATCCTGGACCACGTGGCCTCTTGGGTTCTCCCAACCCTCTGCCTCTGAGCCTAGCTGAGGTCTGACATGCCTCCTGGATACGGTGATTTGTCATCTAAGATGCAGTTTTTGTCCCTGAAGCATGTGATTTTTCTCCTTCTTCCTTCTGAGGGGGAGGCACTCAGTCCCTCCCTGCTGCCTTTACAGCTCCCAATTAATTGTGTCTCATTTATCAGGCTCCAGCTATGCCCCATGAGCCAGAGACAAGAGAGGGAAGGTTGTTCACGCCCTGGGGTTGTGGTTATAACTGACTGCTCGTCAAGGTTATGTTCTTGGAAAAGCCACACTCCCACTCCTCCCACCCACTGGAAGGCTAGCATCTTCTGGGTCAGCATGTGGAACTGTGTGGGAGAAGCTGGCTGAACCAGTCTTCAGACCTGCAGCTGCCCTAAAGGGCTGCAATGAGGAGGGCTAGTGATGGAGCTGTCTGGCATGGGGGAGGGCAAAGGACCCAAACAAACTAGAAACCACCACTTAGGGTATCCAGTCATGGAGATCTATGGGTTGTTGATATTGGGGGCTGCCCTGGGACTGTTGGTTTTTTGGTCATAGTCCATGGAGAGCTGGCAGGAGAAAGCTTTGGGGGATTTCTTCCTGCCTTTCCCTATGGGGTGGTGATGGAGAAGAGGAAGAGAGATTGTATGTCTTGGCCCTAAAGAAACTGATGGCCTACTGACCTATCTGTTGGCTCTCCCATCCTTGGGATGCATCGATTCCTGCTACTGATTCCGGTCCTGTGCTTTCGGGGGGATGGGCACCTGGGCTGCCTTAGGGATTAGGTATGACTCAACCAGGGAGTTAGTCTCATGACTGGATATGCCTGACATCTCTGCCAAGGCAGGGAGCGGAACTGTTTGTGTGAATGCCTGGTGACCCCTGGACAAGCCATTGCTTGCCAGGAAGCTTTTCTTTCCCTCCACTGGGCTGCCCTTTTACAGTCTGCTCTTAGGAATAAAGGGGACATCTGATAGAAAAGACTTGAAAAATACGTGTTTCATCAAACTTGCCCCCTCCCCCCAGCTTTCTGTATAAGAACACTCTGGAATATTTTGATGATTATTCTTTGTGCCCATTTCATCGCTCACCCCTTAGGATCAGTTAACAAATCTCACTGTCCTCTGCCCCCCTGCATAGGAAGACCTCAGCAAGTGTTTTCAGACCTCTTCCCCACTCTGATCCCTTAAGGCTTTGTAGCCTGTTCAAAGTGTGCTCTGATTGTTAACCTGCCAGAGGGAGGGCTTTGCCTGTGTCTCTGAAGATGCCCAGGTTGCATATGGGAGGGCTTTTTTCATCTCAGACCCCATGTGAACCTGGGTGATTCTCCTAGGTTCCTAATCCTTTATTGTACTGACATTGGCTTCATGCTCTGTTTATTCCTTTCTGGTTCCAAGGGTGAAGATGACTTTGTAGGGGAAAAGATTTTAGCCTCAACTCCCAGGATACCTGTGCTGGTGGGCTTCTGATCCACCAATGTTTCCAGAGTCTCAGATTCTTCCCAGAAGCCTGGGCTGGAAGGAGAGAGTAAGGAAGAGAAGGAGAGCAGGTTAGAGGAAGGCCTCGGTGGCCAGGGAGATTCCCTTCGAGGCTTTCCTGGATAAATAGATAAATAATTGATTTCTGTTTTGGGTTTTTTTTTTTTTTTTTTTTTTTTTTTTTTTTTTTTTTTTTTTGTAGCCCCAGCTGGCTTGGAACTCACTATGTAGACCAGGTTGGCCTCGAGGTTGGCGGGGGATTTCCCTTTCGGGGTTTCCTGGAATAATAAAAAAAAAATTTATTTTTTTTTTTGGTTTTTTTTTTTTTTTTTGTTGTTGTTGTTTGTTTGTTTTTTCCCTTCATTTCTCTGTTGATGCTTGCCTGGACTTACTGGGAGCAAGAAGTGGAACTTTGAGAATGGCATATTTTCCTTAAAAATATCCAGGGTCTTTTCCTTTAAAGAGTTCTTATTTCACATATTTTTCAAACTTGTAGTTCTTGGATCAAATTAGATGCAGGTGCATAAGACCCAAAGCAGAGCCGTTGCAGATCAGCTCCTCGGTCTAGCTGCCTGCCAAGTTTGTGGCCCAGGTGTTTCTCTCTTCTCCCTTGTGACATCTGAGAGCACCCCGAGGAGTGGGTGGGGAACATCAGGGTGTGGCAGAGGAGGAAGGGAAAGCAGGAGAGAGGAGCTGTGGGGATGGGATGGTTTTCTGCTGGAGATCTGTGACTAGAAGATACCACCAAGCATGAGTCCACACAGACTTGAATTTTCATTAGTTTAAGAGCTGGTGGTGAGACAGGGAGGGTGAGCTATCCTGACTGGACCATTTGTGGGGGCAGTGCTGAGGCACTTAAGCTTGGCTTCCTGTACTGTGTGGCTGAGATGGCTCAAGAGGCTGGTGGACCAGGCTTATTTCAGACACTACTTAGCAGAAGAAATGGAACATGCTCAGGGTTTGGGGGCTTTGTCCTTCTCAATGACACACCAGTCACCATCACAGGTTCAGTAAAATGTGGAACTCAGGTGTTCTGAAATGGCAGTCTTTGAACTAGTGTCTCTCTGTGGATGGTGAACCTAGATGATCGTGTGATATGTATTTAGAGTAGTACAGCATGTTACAAGAAGAAAAACAAAGCAGTGGGGTTAGTTTTCTGTAAAGCAAAGCAAAGCTCTAAAACGAGTGGTTCTTTGCTCTGAGATTATACTCTTCCACAGTTTTAACAAACCAACACTGAAATTTCAGTGGTATAAATATAGCTCCCAATTCAGAGAGTTCAAGGTGAGTGTTGCTGATCTGAGGTGGGATGGCCTGCCTGCCTATCAGGAACCCAGGCTCCTTCTGTCCTGTTGCTCTGCTTGCCTCTGGGACCTCTGGGATGTTGGAATCCTTTGTTTAATAGGACTGTATGTGGTCTAGGGATGGAGTGGTCCTCTGAGTTTGCTGTCTGGAACTTTGTCCTAGGGACACATTTAGTTGCCTCAGTGTAGACAAGACTCTGTGGTGTCCTCAGGAAGCAGGTTGAGAGAGGAGCTGGTCAAACTATGTCCTTAACTAGGCAAAAGAGAAGCAGTCATCCAGCCTGTTGACTTTCCTAATCTATTTTTATTTTACTGGTTTACAAAATGAAAGTCTGGGTACTACTGTTAGCAATAATCCAAAGGTCACTTCTCTTCAGAGCTGGGAAATGTTTCTCTACTTGAGACACTTAAAATATAAACATAAAGGTCAGGTCCGGTGGCACATGGTTATAATCCCAGCCCTGGGAAGGCTGTGGCAGGAGGAAGATCATGAGTTTGAGGCTAGCTTGGGCTATGTAGTGAGACCCTGTCTCAAAAAACCCCAACCACAAGAACAAAAAGCAAAGAAACTATTTAAGGAAGCCTTCCTCCTATTATTCTGAGATGAGGTTGAGAAATGGCTCCCCCAGGTCCCTGGAAACACTGCTTCGAAGAGAAGTTCAAAAAGCTTGTGGCCCTTGTGGCCTGTTGATTTTTTTCAAACATATTTCAAATTTTAATTGGATCATGCAGCTTCGTGTTCCTGGGGTACAGTGTGATATTTCAGTGCATCCATAATAGTCATAATTGGCATATCCAGGTAACTGGAAGGTCTGTCATTCCAGACAATCATTTCTTTGTATTGAGAGTATTTAAAAATCTTCCGTATTTTGAAATATACATTTAATTGTTGTTGTCAACTGTAGTTCTCTTACGGTGCTACAGAACATTAGAAGTTAATTAATACCTTTTAGGTAGGTGAGATGGCTCAGTAAATAAGGTGCTTGCCACCAAGCCAGATGACCTAAGTTCAATCCCCAGAACCCATATGGTGGGAGGAGAGAACAGACTTCTGAAAGTTGCCCTCATGTGCTTTGGCATAAGTGCCCCCCCCAATAATAAATGTCAACCACAAAGAAGTTTTTCCTTCTACCTAATCGCCTCCCTGTGTCATTAGCCATCCTTTCTTTGTCCCACTCGTCCCAGCCAATGGTGAATTTTCTTTCTTTCTTTTTTTTTTTTTTGAATGAAAGAGCTGGTTCAGTGTTTGGGTTTACAGTCTTACAAGTGACATTACACATGAGGAGTAAGGATCAGCGTAACTGGGGACTGATGTCACCAAGGATGAAAATAAAACAAAAGAGTTGCTTGTACTAGGGATATCCTAGGAAGATTTTCTGCAGTCTGGTTATATCCACATTGTGGTGGGATCCAGGAGGGGCTAGTGGTTCTTCTCGAGGAATTAAACTGGCTGTGGATGGAGTTTGCAGAACAGTGAGACGAGGCTACCCTGGTGCATTCTTCATCTCAGAAGGCACATAGTTTCTGAATGACAAAGGAGGGAGTCTTGATTTGGAATGTGCCTTGCTATCACTCACTCTGGGTCTTGATTTCTTTTGTCTCTTTCAGGTTAGTCTGAATGACTCCCACAATCAGATGGTGGTGCACTGGGCTGGAGAGAAAAGCAACGTGATCGTGGCCTTAGCCCGAGACAGCCTGGCGTTGGCACGACCCAAGAGCAGTGATGTAAGTATCTGTGTCACTCTGGGTCCTCCTTGGTGCCATCAACATGCCCCTTCTGATCCTTTGGGATTATCATGTCAGAAAAAATAGTGAATAATTAGAGAATGGATGGTTTGAATCTTATGATAAGGAAGGGAATCTGGGCAATAATGCATGCATTCCTTGCTTACTGGTCACGGGGTAGAACAGTCAGTGTTCCAAGCAGATATGTGCAATGTGTGATTACTTTTCTGAAGTCAGAGGTGGTCTGGATTGATAGCTTAACAAAGTACCAAAGAGTACTCTGGGGCAGAGCCACTTGGAGCTGGGCCAGATGGAGTTTAACTGGTCTTTTCCATGTGCCAGTGTGGCTGGGAGAGCTTTTGACATGGATTGTTTTTATCTATCATCTGTTTTACTATGTATATATACTGTCAATCAATCATTATCATCTATCATTATTTATTACCCATCATCTATTTTTATCATCCATTTATCTATATGTATGTCTATATATATCTATTACATAATCTACTAGCTATCTATCCTCTATCTGTCTGTCATCTATCTACCATCATCTATCACTATCTTCTGTCACATCTATCTATCTTCTGTATCTATGTATATCTATCATCCTATCTATCTATCTATCATCTATCTGTCATTCTATCTATCTATCTATCTATCTATCTATCTATCTATCTATCTACTATCTATCTATCATCTATCATCATATCTATGTATCTATCTATTATCCTATCTATCTATCTACTATCTATCTATCTATCTATCATCTATCTATCTATCATCTATCTATCTATCTATCTATCTATCTATCTTATCTATCTATCTATCTATCTATCTATCTGTCTGTCTGTCTCTTAAATGTGTATAAAAAGGAGAGCAGAGGGAGAAATGGAGCATGTCGCTGTTTCTCATTCATGCATCTATCATCGTATCAATCTATCATCATCTATCTATCTATCATCATATCTATCTATCAATCATCTATCTATCTATCATATCTATCTATCTATCTATCTATCTATCATCT